TTGTAGTTATTACTTTCCGAACTATTGCTAATAACAAATTTTTATCAATTGTATGCAGGTTTTCTCCTCTTGCAGTTAAGAAATATTATACAGGGTGCGGGAACGTTCATAGTAGGATATTAAAAACACACCATAAGTCAGTAACTATAATTTATTTATTGCCACTTATGTCAATTAATAGTTAAAGGTATGCCATTTACTAATGTTTAAATCATTGTCCGTTGCGGGGATTACTTTTTGAATACGATGTCTGTCAAATGATGCCCCCTCTGCACAATAGATTCATCTAGGCGGCGTTGGAAGTTTGCCATAACTAGGCGTAACGTATTCCTTGGGACACTAACGACGACAGTTCTGATGCCATCCTTCAACTCAGAAATGGTGGCACAACGTGTTCGGAAAACTTCTTGTTTCAGGTGGCTCCCAAAGGAAAAGGTCTGCACATGAAAGACCAGGTGAGCGAGGCGGCCAGGAAATGTCACCAAAACGGGAAATTACTCTACCTGGAAATGTCTCTCGCAATGGTCCGTTCATCTGGAACATTCTCATGATGTCCCAAGCTGAAATGTTGCTGAAATAGATGCTGGGTAGCAATAACAGAGTGGTTATTCATGAAATAACTTTCAACAGCAAAGGCACGATGCTGTGCACTCCACCGATCCATATCACTGACGCACTCAAAATGACAGCTCATAAGTACACGAATGCGGCATGAGCTGTCGCGCATTCATGCAGTACATCATTGTACTACGCAAGTCAAATTATGCTATTAACGCTGCTGCACCCTGTATGAAGCTTCGAGTTCTGTTTCATAGTTCTTAGATGTCGCAAAGATTTCTTTCTCTTCTTGTGTGTGTGTGGGGGGGACAGCAGCACTTGTAGAATTCTTGTCAGATATAATCAGAGTTTGCCTTAACAAGTCTTAACGGCCGACATAGGTAAAAGAATAAGCGTAGATTTTGCTGTGATTCATTCGTTTTGCATTTTGCGTATTTGTTTGATTATGTTTTGTTCCCTTTTTTTGTACTGTATTTATTGCTTAAAAATTTATATATTTAAAAATATATTGAATTTTAAGGTATATTAAATAGCTTTTGTAGATTTTCCCCCTATAATGATTTTGTATAATTCCTTTTTAATTACATAATATAGGGACAGGATTATAATAAACAAATGTTTATCAATTTTATTAATAATTTTTTTAATCAATGGGATCGTGATTATGCTAGATAATTGCTAATGCGTATTCGCCTATCAACCTCTTGACCACCATTCACCCCTTTAAAACTCTATCAACGCCCAAAGGGTCAATAACGGCCCCGCTGAGACTCCAGATATAAAGGAACTGGTTTTTCTCCATCCGATTTTCCTATACTTAGAAGAAACATTGACATGTATTTCAAAAATGTTTTTTACACATCTTTAGCTTGAAGCTCTTTTTTTTTTTTCCCCTTCCTTCCAAGTTCCTGCTACTGTAAACACCTAAGTGTTAACCTAGCTTAACGATTCTATTTTACTCAGCATTAAAATTTATTATGTGTGCTTTAATTCATCTGCAATCACTTAGCTTAAAATCCATCTTTATCGTGAATCCATCCATAATATTCCATAGTTCTTCTCACTTATTCAGGTAATCCTCGTAATACTAACTCCCCCCCCCAAAAAAAAAAGTGCTTGCTTTATAAGAATTTACAAAGAAAGGTTTAGGAAATGGGCAGCTGAGACTTTCCAAATGATCTAGATTTTACCTATTATATGGTACATCGTGCAATTCCACTGTATGCCTTGCATCCAGTATTTATTAAAAATAATGATCTACGACATAGAGTCACAATACCATTTAAAATTCACAAATTAAATTTAACATCTGTTTTGGTGAAACAAAATAGCAGATAAACATAATTAGTATACAGATAAACATAATGAGATAACTGTAATAAATATTGAGACCACAATGTTACAATGAACTGTAATAATAATACTAAGGAGGTAGGTTTCTATGGTGTAATTTCAGTTATAAAAAGTTATTGCAGTTTATAAAGTTCACAAGTTGAGTCATTTTGTACTTATTCACAGAATGTTAAAATTCACTAAATTTATGCAGCAGGAGAACTTATACTTGACAAAGATCTAGGCCATAGGAAGAGAGTCGTTGCATATTTTTTTGAAATTTCGGATGCTGATGTTTATCTTTAATTATAAATCATTGGAATTTTCTTACTTCATACAAATATTCCGCTGAATCGAAAACGCGAAATTTATAGTAGTCATTATGCGGCGTTGTCATTACAGTTCAAATGACGCGATAATTTTACAAGGTGAGGATTTATTAAGTATATTTAGATGAGAAAATAACAAATTAGTATTAATAGTATCTCTGCGGGAATTGGGTACGACTTTGAAAATTAATTTCTTATACGCTACCAGTTGTACAGACAAGAATTACAAAATTAATGTAAATAGGGTCACAAAGAAGTAAACAAATATGACTACTTACGCCATAATTTAAATGAATAGACTTGATGATTCAAAATGTTTTAATGTCTGTTTTTAAATGAAAAAAAAAAAAAAAAAATCTATGTTACAAAGAAAAAAATTTGAAATTTAATTTTTTGTAGATTTTTTTTAGTTTGTATAAGTTAGTTTAATCAAAATTAAATGTTTTTGCGACCTCGTTCGAGTTAGAAAGTTGTCTTCCCTTTATAGAAGAATATTATAATTATGAGTACTGATTTTTTTTTTTTTTTTTTTTTTTTTTTTGTGTGTGTGTGTGTGTGTATGTTATTGTGTGTTTTGAGAAATACTTATTACTGTAATACGTAATCGAAGCGAGAAGGTTCACTGTAAAGTGTATAACAACTTCCTACTGACATTTTATAATGCTTATTCATTTCATTTAAATTAATTTTGATTGATTTGAACGTGTTCTAAGCACCATAATAAGAGTTATGTTGACGCTAGTTGCATGCATTGCTTTTGATCCTTGAGAAAAACTATGTATACGTATTTTACTAATTCTTGTCAGTAACGTACTTATTCTTTACAATCTTAAACAGCATTCATCTGAGTCGTCCTGTTGTGCGGATGAAGAGTTTTTTGCCCTTTCACAGTAGTGTGTCTGATAACCGTTTGACTCTTGATAACAAAGAGGCTTTTAATCTGTAATGAGAGTTTATTTTGAACCGGCTTCCCGTCCAAGTTTCAGCGCTGTCATCACATCATGTACTGTTAAATTTTTTGTCGGTTATATCTCAGAGGAATTCGATAATGAATATCGTAATATATCATTCTTAAAGGGTTTGTATTGATATGTTTCAGAACAGATTTTGCTGCTACTATCCTTATCAGTGTGTATTTCCAGTCATGAAATCTGACTCCTTTTTTCCTTAGCATTATCATAAAGAAATTTATAATCTTTGTAATTTTGCAAGATTTTTAAGAAGAGAAAAAACTGTGAACAATAATAAAAATTAATTAATATTTAGATCCTTAATCAAGATTTATTTTGCCCACCGTTCTCTTTTTTTGCAGAAAATATATTTCTGAGGAATATTTATATCAGATGTGCAACAATTTATATTTTCGAAAATCATCTTCTGCAGATAAAAATCTAATGAATAAATATGACTATTAAAATACATCTGAAGCAGATATTTTCTTTTCAGTACTGCTTTTGCTGACATGTGTTTAAAAAAAGTCTGCACTTTTCTCAGATGCGGAATATCCCATTTAAATGTGAACGGAAGTGAAAGATATTTCTGTTTATTTGTAACAATGGCCTAGTATATGAATGCTGTGCCTTAGCCTGATGTTTTACTTGATCTTTAACAAACATCGATTTTTAGAAAAACTTTTATGCCTTTAGAGGAAGGGTGACTCATACCAGTCTCTCTCGAAAATCATTATGTTTTTCTGTAACACCAGTCTTAACCTAAACAACCTAAACTTGAAGTTTCCTAAATTTCCAACTGGCCTGAAGTCCACATGAAGGAATCTACACCTCAAGAGATGACAAGGGGAAAATGCTGTTACTGTACGCTATGGTATCATATACAGTTCCAAGGCATAGCTGAACATGAAAAATTATGCTCTTCTGTTGAAGTATTCTGTAAACATTGACGCATTTTCCCGTATTGCGCGTTATCTGTTTTATAACTTATGAACTGTTTATTTCTTCCCTTCCCCCCCAAAAAAAATGCTGAGAGCACAATTTTATAGTAAACCGCGTCTATTTGTAATTTTTTTAAAATTTATTTTACTTTATTTTCAGATGAAAAAATGAACCATAACTTTTCACACATTTTTGAGAGAACATATTGTTCATTAAAAGAAAATCTAATTTTCTCAGTAACTTTCGTCAAGGAGGGAATTGTGTCTGATCGTTCTCGAAACTGATAGTTTTATTCAACTTCCACGCCTAAATAGGGATGCTGTTTTGCGTAATTTTAATGTCTTTAAAATCAGAATTATGTTATTGTTAGACATTATCTCAAAACATCTGTACTAATCGGTTGAAAGGGTTACGGAGTTCTTAATTATGAGTGTTTTTAAAAATATTCGATTATCATTTGTAATTTCGGCTGTTACTTTCCGCTAAGCTGTTACTGTACGCTCCCCCTAAAACAAGATTCAGATTCATGTTCTTACAATAACGTTCATACAAGTAATATAAATTTTTAGATGAAAATTTTGAATGATTAAACTATGGTTTACCAAGAAATATAGAATTATTAGCTTAAAATAGTTAAAATTTAATGCACCGACTTCTAATGGTAATGGTACTGTGAATACACAGATCTAAAACTGTTTTCAAAAGCAATTTTCAAACTGTTGAGTTATTGAGTCTCTCCACTGCATTTGTGTTGCTTCTTGTAATAAATAATATTTTTCTTCCTTTCAAACCTTTGTTAAGGCTTCATGTCAGTTACCGGCTATGACCGGTCACACCAGTTATGATAATTTTTAATTCATTTATTTACTTTTTTTTTTTTTTTTTTCAGTTGATATACCCCCACCTTTACTGCCTGCTGTACAAAAAACAGAAAGTGAACCTCACAGATCTCCATTACCTAAGTGAGTATTTTTTTAAAAATTAAAACTCAATTTGAAAACTGAATCCTGCACCGCTTTTACATCTGAAGTAAATTTAATTTGTTAATTTTGTGGTTACCGGTTTATTCAAACTCTTTATTTTATTACCACTCTGAAAAATCACTAAAACCCTTTTATCTAAAAAACTATATGTGTTTTAGATTTTATCAGATTTTCATTGTAGGGTATCCAGCTTCTTAATACGTAATTTCGAATCAGAATCGTGCCGAAGGTGGATTGAATTGAGGCACTATCAGGTATGAAATCAAATGAGACGCAGTCTGTAGCGGGTTAAAATATGATACAGTGAAATCTCTTCACAAATGTAATTCATTCCTTAAGCCCGTTTGTCACTTCAATTATTTGTAAATTGAAACTGCTTTCTTCTTATAGGAATCAATATAAAATGGACTAATCCGCATAAATAAACTAAATTAGCAAGCAGATGAAAACTTATACCTTTTGTGCGAAAGAGAATGAATGGCATGAGTGATGAGGTAAAAAAAGGGGAAATTTTATCTTTTGTCTCTTTAACACCGCTGATTCTACTTGAGACTTACTCAACCTCCGTTTCACTCAAGTCTAATGTGCTATCTGCGTTTTAAAAGGCTGATGAAGTGAGACACAGGAATTATCAATGATAAAGCTTATGCTGAAACTTTCTACTGTTACAAATTTCCTCATTTTGCACAAATTTCGCAGCTCAAAGAACTAAAATTATTTTTCTGTCCATCCTTTCTTCCGAGAACATTTCCTCTACATTAGCTTTTCATTGCTACTGCTGACTCTACTTTAACCTTTCATTGCTGCTGCTGAAGCTATTCCTGTTTTTTTCTTGTTGAGCTTATTTTTGTAGTTCCCTTGTAAATCCTCCATGTCTTCACTGTTAATGTCTTTGCCTAGAGAAGCAGCATCATAGATTTAGAAAAAAAAAAAAAAAAAAGTCAGTGACAAAGCTCCCAAAGGTTCTGCCTGTAGCACCGCCTAACCATATCTCCTTCCAAACCGAATTCATGGTTCTGTTAATTCCTTGTTTCTAAGCTTATTGGTGAGCTTTAAACTATGGAAAATATTAAAAGGATGTTCCCAGAAATCCATAAGTGTTAATTCTATGTCAGAAATTATCTCAAAGCACCTTTGAAAATCATATCTTGATGAATTGATTGTTCATCTCCCGAAACCTTTCCTGTTCAGGTAATTTGTTCGTGAATCTATTTTTTCGCGATGAGAGGCGTTCCTTACCCGAAGTTTCATTGTATATTGAATATCAACGCAAAAGTGATAAAAGTATTTAGAGAATGCAAGTCTGATTTTTGCTTCAGATTTTGAAATCTGTCGGTATGGCTTTATTTCAGATGATTATCAAAATTCGTTATTGGTAGAACGATTGCTGTAGATAATGCGTCTCTACCTTAGTTAACACTTAATGTTGTAATCAAGTTTAAAATAACACTAAGACGTAAAACATAAGGTGGGGCAAATATTTTGTTGAAGAAGAAATATCGAATATGTTTTTAATGCATAGTTTTTGTCATCCTTTAAAAATGTTTTCATAATTATATATTGAAATTATGTGCATCACTTTATCAGAACGAAAGTCATAGTATAACGTAGCTAATACTAATATAAAGAATGCTTAAAGTTTTTTAATATACACTGCTGTCCAAACGTTTATGGACAGCATGGGGGTTTTCCAAAGTTCACCATTACAAAAATGTCAGTAGCTTTTAAATTAGCCGTTTATATTCGTGATAGTAACGAAGTTTAAGAAGATATATGCAAAAACAATAGCTACCACTTCTATTGTACAGAAATAAATACTTATATAGGAGTTGGAGAAAAAATGCTGAAATTTTAAGTTTCGTTCACGAGTGTTGATCTTTAATTCTTATTAGCAATTTCGTTTACAATATCCAGGAGAGTCTATCAATGCCCAGTGGAAGTCGTTTGCCCGATTCGTTGTGGTAGTGGGCGATCGTATGGATGGAATTACGGTTGTCACTAGCTGATGCTGCTAGACGTCTCAATGTCCCTCGCAGTATGATCCACCGACTATGTATAATCAGTTTTAATCTGGATATTCTGTGTCGATAAGACATATTCCAGGCAGGCCAGGAGTAAAACCATCTGCGGAAGACCATTATTTGGCTATTTCAGCCCGATGGAGAAGCAACATTATAGTTCCTCAGCTCATGGCAGATCATATAGTGGCAACAGGACCCAGAATCTCATCTACTACAATGCGCAGACGCCTGCACAATACAGGTCTGTATGCAAGACGACCAGTTGTTTGTATCCCCTCTACCCGAGCACACAGTGATGTCTGTTTATATTGGGCAAGAGAACACGTCTCCTGGACCAGTCAACAATGGGCAACAGACGAGTCCATGTTCACATTTGAGGTTATTCAGGTCATCAGCTGATCTGGAGGGAACAACGATCAGATACAACCAAGCTCACATTGTGGAAAGACACAGTTACGGAGGTGGTAGAATAATGGTATGGGCTGAGATCTCTCAGTGGTCACACTAACCTGCATGTGTTCGATGGACGAACTTTGACCGGTATGAGATATCGAGACGAGATCCTTGATCAGTATGTCCGCCCATATGCCGCTGCTATTGGTCTTGAATGTCTTCTTATGAACGACCGTGCGTGACCCCACCGAGCTCGAGTTGAAGACTATCTTGAGGCTCACGGTATTGAGCGGACGGAATGGCTAGTTCAATCCCCAGACCTGAATCTGATAGTGCATCTTTAGGACTACCTTGGGAGACAGGTTGCTGCTTTGAATCCTCCTCCAAGGTCTTTAGATGAGCTTGAATAAGGATGTAATGTTACTGCCATATTTTCCCTAAAAAAAAAAAAAAAAAAAAAAAACAGTGATGTACTCTTTCTCCAAGACTGGATTCCTCTACCAAGGGTGAAATTTTTTGTTGTAATTCATGTTTGTGTAAAACTTTAGAAACAGTCTATGTCGCATTCATTAAAGACCTGTTTAATGAACATGTCCTCTCAATAGCTTGTTTCTATGTTGCTTCATTCTCAAATTAGACGCAAAAAACATGCTGTTCCTTAACTTTTGGAGGGCAGTGTACTTCACAGACTTTTAGGTGTTCGTCCTTTCTGTCTGGGCAATCTGTAGTTCATTTCAGCCATCCTCGCTCCAACGCTGTTTGGTCCACATGATTGGTAGGCGAGCAGTGTCAACACATTTAGGTAATGGTAATTCATTATTTCAATTTCATTAATTTTCTGGGTAACTTTTAGAGCATTTTAAATGATAGCTCATCTCTGTCTAAAAGAAAAGTTAATGAGACGTGCTGAGGTGTTGAATTGTATTTTTTAACCGCCAAAATCATGGGATTTAATACCGGGGAATGTTTGCCTTTTGGCTGCTTTAAGGATATTAAATGGAATAGAAATGCATTACTACGGCTGCCATTCAGGTGAACTAGGCAACGATGACGCAAACTGAATTGAAGTGGACTGCTGGATAAACATTTACTGTTTTACGACTGCTTAACACATCGACAAACTGCTGTATCTGTAAAATAACGTGAACATTTTCCTTTCATTACCATTAAACTGTTGGGTCATTTGAAAAATTCTGCGATTTTTCAAATCAAGGCGCATCTTTTTCTATTATTTTGTTACTGCTAATAAGGAGTGATCTTGATTGAAGCGGATATTTAAATATGATCTTTTCTGCTCATGTTGCTTAATTCTTGCATATATTGTTATGTAATTTTTTCCCAATGCAGTGCTAAGAATGAAGAACCCAGAAGCTCATTTTCATCATTTTATGCTCTTTTATATTAAAAAAGGAAACTTGCTAACCAGCCTGCTTGTTAAATTTGTACTGCATATGGAAAAATTGTTTCTGATGACACAATTCGATAAGCGTGGAAATTTCAGCTTCGAAGGTGATGTACGTTCTTGATGACCATCCAGTGCAAACAAGGAGCTATTGTTTAAAATTCACGTTATACAGTTCAGGAATACAGTTCGGATAGTTTAAATGTTCCAAAAAGTACAGTATATGATTATTTGAAGAAAATTCGATGTGTAAGCTACTATGTATAAGTACCTCGTACTTTAACCGAACAGAATATTCTTGCTCGAGTTTTGGTGTGTGCTTCTTTGCTGAAAAACAACGAAGAAGCTCCGTTTTCTTAATGGGTTATTATCGAAGATTAGAAATGCATTCTATGCAATAATGCTATAAAAAAAAGATTTTTGGGCAAGCCAGGAGAACCTCCTTTAATACCATTAAGAATGTGTTTCATCCCAAAAAAGTAGTGTTTTGTGGACCCAAAAAAGTAATGTTGATGGGACTATAAAGGAACTGCAAAATAAGATTTGTTACCACCAAATTAGGTAATAAATTTGAATAATGTTATTCCCAAATGGCAGACTTAAAAGCAGAAATCGAAGCTAAGCTCTCAGAACTGACCAGTTTTCGAAGTGCTCTCATTTAACATGACAATGCTGGACCCAACATATCGGTGAATGTTGGACAAAAACTTGCTGACCATAGTTGAGAAGTTTTGTGTAAACTTTCATATTTATTAGACCTTGCCCAGTTGGATTTTCATCTGTTTAGATGACCTCAAAATTCTTTGACCTGCCTGGACTTCACTTTTTTAAAGAGTGTCAAACAGCACCTCAGCAACTTCTTTACAAATAAAAACCTAACAATTTTTTTACAAAAAGGATTTTCCAGCTACCAGTATTGAAAAAAACGTCAAAACGTCATAGAAAAGTAGTGCTTATATGCTCCAATGAAATTAACTTATATGTTTTGTATTTACCATCCAAAAACTGCATTTGTATTAATCATAAAAAAAAAACCGCAGAACTTTCCGGATGACTCAATATACAGTCAAAAGTCGTTAATCCGGACTCGTCGGGACTTCGGCGATTCCGGATTATCGATTTTTCCGGATTATAGATCATCAGTTTAAATCTCGTAAGATGGC